ACAAGAAGCATGAGTGCTGGTGGCAACAAAAATCCGAGTCGAAGAGGAGGGTTTTTGCATCTGCACGAATGCATTTTGTTAAAAAATATTACTTAGCATTGTGTTTCTTCGATTTTTTTCACAGGAAAAATTGCCCGAATGGTATTTGACAAGACTATTTCATGAGTAACAGTTAACAATAAAGATATAAATTGCAACTTTTGGTGACAACAGCTGTCAAGTTTTGCCGCGGGTAAACTCGAAAAAACTGCTGACAGGTGCTGTCACACAGTTTTTTCATCTAGAAACCATTTGTAATTCAAAATTGCGTGTTTGTGATTGGTGGAAATTAAGATGAGGGAAATAGTCATATTTATACAGTGTGGTGCTCACTTATCGAATAAAATTCGTTATTCGATAAGAAAAGATTTTTATGAACAATGCTCGGGCACGTAAAGTTTAGTTTTTTATTTTAAATATTTAAATTAAAATTTTAAATTTTTTGCCCCCACCATTTTCCCCCTACCATATTATGCACATTTATCTTAAATAACATCCCCACTTTTTTCACAGGTTTCAATACAGGGTGGAAATCTAAAGACAGATTAAAAAACTAAACTATTTTAAAATTAAAAATGTAACAAGAAATGAAAAAAAAAAACTTTTCTTCAATCTTATAAATGTTGAAAATGTTTCCCATTCACTTGTTGACACCTAAGTAATCTACTGTAAAATTGTTCCCGCACTCTGTTTAAAACCGCCAAGGTTATTCTGTTTCCTAAATCATCTAAATTAGCAGGTTGTGTTTTAACCACTCTTTTTTTTTAGATTACCCCATAGGAAAAAGTTTAGAAGTGTTATATTTGGTGATCTTGCTGGCCATTCTATGAAACCTCTTCCTCCGATTCTCCTGTGTGGAAATGTGTCATTTAAATATTTCCCTAGAGGAAGAGAACCTAATTTAGACGATTTAAGAAACAGAATAACTGGAGAAATTAGGAACATAACATCGGAGGTTTTAAACAGAGTGCGGCAGTGTTGTTAAGTCCGATTTAGCAGTAGATCTACCTATTTTGGAAACCATCTCCTGTTCTACTGATTATGAAAAACATCTCCCGTTTTTTTAGTTCTCCGGAACTAAAAAGGGCATTCCATGCGCCTCGGGACTTTTGCCCTGACCGTCAAATTAAAAAAATTGTAGTTTTTTCAATTAAAAAATTTGTTATCATATACCTTTTAGTCCTTTAATGTGATATAACAATTATTGTAATCTCAAATATTTCGGAAACGGTTAATTTTATCGAAGTTTGAGAGGTACACCTTTTTAATAGTAGCCGAACTGAGTAATCGAAAAATTGCATCAAATGGTATAAAAACCTAACCTCAAAGTTTGTATGGGACAATAAGCTTAAGCAACCCCCTGTTTCTACGACACTGTGTTCACTCAAACAATTATAATTATGTGTGAATATGTGTTTTGGTAGTAAGTGACTGTTCGCAAAATATCACCTTTCCAAGACTACCATAGTAGAAGCTATATTAAAAAAACTGATTTGATAAGTAACACTTTATCAACCTGTATCTTTTAAACATACGTAATTAGGAAAAATATTTATTTAGATTTTTGTCTTATTTTGACTTTCATAATCTGCTCCTAAATTTATGCCACTAAGTTTAGGGACACCTTGTATATGCATATACAAATTCGAGAGGGAGGTTATGTCACTGGATTTGCAACGTTTTTTATTTAGTTTAAGTCAAGTTTTAATCGACGCATTAAAACGCAATTTTAAGTTTTAATTAGTTTTGACTTGTAACATAAGATGGGTATTTTAGAATAATTATATTTGGTGGTGGTAATTAAAACTGTCCGTTTTACCGGAAAGAGTGTTTTCCAGGAAAAGCAATTTAATAACTGATACAAGGTCACGACTTAAGTCTAAATGTAAATATTTTAATTTTTATGGACGCTTCTTTGAATAAATTTTCTTTAACTTTAATGCAGATTGTTTTTTTCGATAGTATCGATATATCGATAGTTTTTGCTAAGATTGTATCAAACAATCGATAGTAAAATTTATCGATAGTTTCCCACCTCTAATTCAAAGTGCTTGCCTAAACACAAATATTAAAATAACACGATTAGTAATTCTATCATTCACAGATGTCAGATGTTAGTAACATTTGACAGTTAGTGCCATTTAATAGATTTAGGTGAATAATCGAGTTCGGTTTTGTACGCCGTGGGCTACGAAACTTAGCTGACTTTGCGAACCGGGGGTTACAAAATTGGATACCCGGTATAGAAATATACCTGTATTTTTTAACAATATCGCAAGCTTTGACCTTTTAGCGAGGTATTTTGTGATTTGTTTAAGCGATTGAGTGGATGTTTCAAGATTGAAATTTCCACATTGTCAAATGGCGGAGGCAACTTGCTGAAGCCGTATACAAGCATATGGTCACATGGACTAGCTTCCGAGCACCAAGGTTGAAAATACCGAGTTTAGAAAGAAAGAAGAAGAAATAATGAATAATCAGATTAATATTTTTGACTCTTATTTGCAAGTTGGTCCCTTCTAATATAAAATATTTATTTGGTTATGTTTATGAAATTTAAAATTTTTGTTTTAAATGAATTATTTAATAACTACCGTTTATTATTCCAATCTCCCGCTTTTTTGAACGACATCCTCCGCTTTATTAAACAGTGACCTGGCAACACTGGGAAGCGGGAACAATTTCATAGTAGGATTCAGGAAGTGAATGGGGGACATGAATAATGAAAAGATTGAAGAACAGTTTATTTTTTATTTATTGTTGACTTTTTAAATTAAAAACTATGATTACTAAACTCTATAGAGGGTATACAGGGTATCGCGGGGGGTGAAACTCATATAGGAATATGAGCAACAAGCGCCTCCCGAGATTTACGTTAAATATTATTTATTGAAATAAAAAACACAAACACCCTATTGAAAATGCCATATAGAACCATAAAAAACACGTATCTGGATTCTATATGGTTTCTATCTGGTTTAATATAGGTATTTGAAACAGGCATTTCACTATAGAACCAGATAGAAGATTACATTATAGAACCAAATAAAAACACTCTAAAACACTATAGAACCAGATAGGGAAACCTATCTGGAAATACATATAGAACAGAAACCAGATAAATCCATATACATCAGGGCTCCCAGCAGTCCATGTTGCGAGAAATAGTGACTTAAGAGACTAATAATAAAAAATAAACGACCAAATATAGACCAACTTAATTACCGAAATAACTATAAAATGGAGGTATACATTTTTTTGGGATAAAAGATCTAAATTTGAATTTAAAATACAGAGATAACTTGAAATTATAAATTTTTATTGAATTAAATTTAACAAGTAACCATAACTGTTATAAAATACATAAATAACAAAAAAAATATTAAATTCTGTAATAAATTATAACTTATAATAAATAGAATCACATTTAAGTATATAAAAGGCACATTTTTTTTGGTGGGCTGCAGCTGATCTATAATTTTCGCCTTTCGTTTTTCTAAATCTTGGGCAAGACAACTAATCTTGTACGTTACCTTCCCCGCTTCTTTTTTTGGAAGGTTCACTCCTTCAAACATTAGTTAAGCCATACATATTTTAGTCATTTTTTTTATTTTCTGCACCCTTCCTTAATCGTTTAATTTAATTTTTTTTATGTCAGTACAATTACATTTAAACTTTGTTTTTATTAAATAATATAAATGTATAATTTTTAATAATCAAAACTATAGTTATACACTTACCTTTGCTATCGTCTGAACATATTTTTTTAGGTTTATGGAATGGATGATAAAACATAGAATAGGAACACATTCTTTGTCACATGTTCTTTGATAGATACTAGGTACTTACTAATTTCATGAAAAATGCATATATAGGTAGTGTTAACCTAGCGAACCGAAACTATAAACGTAAACGAAACCCTAGACCAAACCAGAAACAATTCAGCAATAATTTTGGCGGGCGGTTCGGGTCTGGACGGCGGGAACTTTAAATGTAAACTGCGAAGTTTTCGAATGTTTCACTTGGTTTACTATGGTTTCGATATTTATAAAACTGTGAATATTTATACATTTATTTATTTAAAAAAATATTTTTTAATAGTTGATTTTAACAGAAAATATAGACTTTATAGACTTTAGGTAAAAAAATAGACTTTTATAGACTTAAGACAAAAATATAGACAAGTCTTTAAAAAAACTACCTGCTGGGAGCCCTGATATACATCCATATACATGTCTTTATAAAGACATGTATATGGTTGTATATGGATTTATCTGGTTTCTGTTCTATATGTATTTCCAGATAGGTTTCCCTATATGGTTGAATATGAAAATTTTTAAAATGGAAATCCATATTCAACCATATAGAATCCGTAATGTAAACCAGGACTTTCCATATAGGACCTATAAAACCATATAGAACCAGATACGTTTCCTTATCGGATTCAATATGGGTTCTATATGGCATTTTCTATAGGGCAGTACCAGTTTATAAATATTTTAGTATTATTTATTAGGAATTATGTCCCCCTTTTGGCCTTTATTAAAGCTTTAACTCGTTTTGGCATAGAATTAATCAATGTTTTACAATTTTCCTTTATTTTGTCATCTCGAAACCATACCTGAATGAAAGCCTCAATCATCTTAGTTTTTGTTGTAGAATTTATTTTTAGCAACCTGTCCTTGCCTATAGCTAGGGTTGTGCCTGGTCAATTGACCGCGGTCAATTGACCGAGATTTTGACCTATTTTGACCGGAGAGATTTTGACCATGTCAAAATCGGTCAAAAACTTTTAAATCAACCGCGCGCGGCGACGGCGCTACCTAACGGAAAACATCAAAACTATTAAAAAGTGTTCTGTAGTAGACCATGGCGCCATCTTAATAATGCTTTTTAAAGTTAGTAATGAGGTAAACTTGGGAATCCCAAATTGAATTTTACTCATAACCTAGCTTTTTTATATCTGCCTATAACAAAAGTTACTACTAGTTTGTGCTGTGCTACGTTTTCTCAGGTAAGTTATAACGCCCAGTTTAGGTGAAAAAGTAATTTTTAATTTTTCCATTCCATCTGTTTTATAAACATACCTTTTGTGTTGACATTAACCCCCTTTTTGATATTTCTATTTATGAAATTTAATGAGTTTATGCACGCTTGTATTCGACCGTATACACGTATGCTGTTTTATATCATTTAAATTATACGATTTTAACTTTTAGTGTTCTTGAACAAAGTAACCGCTTCTACACGTTCAAATCCTGAATATGAGCTCTGCAAAGAAGGTGACGAAACCGCGACATAAAATATGGGATTGTTTTACTGAATTTAAGGAGGAAAATAAGGTCAAAGGAAAATGTAGATACTGTGAGGCTATATACATCACACATGTTGATAGAACGCAGAGGCACATTCTAAAACAGTGCAAAAAAATTCCTGAAAATCACAAACAAAAATATAAAAATGTAAGTCCTTCATTAACTGTGTTCCTAACCAATCTAAAATTAACATTTTTAATTTTATTAACCTTAATAAAAAAATTATTGATAATAACAATATACACTGTATTATATTAAATTATACAGTATATATATTTTAGGTAGCTCGTCATGGTGAAGAAGATAGCGACAGTGACCTTCATGATAAAGACGAAGCTGTATTTGCAGAGCAAATCAAGAAGAAACGATTAAATTCATATGAAGAAGGTACTGCTGGCCCATCAGGGCTAAGTAAATTAAAAAATCAAAAACTGGCGAGTTTTCTTGATCATTTAAATCCAGAACAACAGTCGGAAATGTCTGAACATTTCTGCAATGCAGTATATTCTTCAAATTGTGCCCTCTCCATGTTTGAAAGCGAACATTGGAAAAAGTTCTTCAACTTATGCAGGCCAACTTTTAAAGTTCCTAGTAGAAAACAGATGCCGACTACACATCTAGATGTGTCCTATGGAAAGATAAGAAACCAAGTAAAATCACAAATTGACGATGAAGCGACGGTTTCTATTATGAGTGACGGTTGGTCGAACATCAGGAATGAAGGCATTATTAACTACATGGTTCACACAAGTAAAGGAGACCTATTTTATGACTTCTCATTGCCAAAAGCCCAAAAGCACACTGGGATATATATTGCCTCGGAGCTAAGCAGAATTATCGAAGAGATAGGAGAAAGCAAGATTACTGCTGTTGTTACAGATAACGCGGCTAACATGAGAGCAGCTTGGGCTGAACTAAAGATGAGGTACCCAGGTCTTCAATGTATTGGATGTGCTTCTCATACGCTAAATTTGCTAATGAAGGATATGGAGTCCATGACAACGCTTCGGGATCATGTCACAAGTTGTAAAGAAATAGTGAAGTTCTTTAAACTAAAACATGTGCCAAATGCAGTTTTGCAAGAAAAACAATGTGGCAACAGCAAATCGTTGAAAATGCCTGTAGAAACCAGGTGGGGAAGTACAGTGGCTTGTATGGACAGCATTCAGGCAAACAAACAATCGCTTAGAGAGTCGATCGTAAATAGTGACGTGGAGAGTATTGCTCCCGCTAAAATTAAGACTTCAATTTTTTCCGATGTGTTCTGGGACCGGAACGATAAATTCTTAAAATTACTTTCTCCTGTCGTTAGACTTATTACATTTATGGAAAATACCAATTCGACTTTGTCGGACGTAAGACACAAGGTGTACAAGTTGAAAGATCAATTTTCCGCCCAAATGTCGGAAAGTCCCTTTTTGATTTCCGAAGAAACATCCCTTATGAACAATTTTGAAAAACGGATTAAAATGATCTGTACTGACACTCATAATGCGGCCTATCTGCTGGACCCACGATACAGAGGAAAAAACTTGCAGCATGAGGAACTTGAACAAGCCATTGCTCTCATAGTGGATCTTTCTTTAGCAGATGACCATATCAAAGTTATAGGGGAAATTACCAACTACAGAACACAACAAAACGTATTTGATAAAGCAATTATTTGGACCGCATCAAAGGGTGTTACTTCTGTATGTAAAACTCCATCCGATGTAACACCCGTTACGTGGTGGAAGAATTGGCTTCCGAATTGCTCATTAAAGGATGTTGCTGTGAAACTGTTGGGCATGCCACCTTCTGCAGCCTCTTGCGAGAGAAATTGGTCCGCTTGGGGTATTGTCCATAGTAAGCTTCGCAACCGATTGAAAACCACTCGTTCAGGAAAGCTTGTTTATATAAAGTACAACTTGAAGCTGTTGAGTGGAAGTGAAAATAAAAAATGTGGAAATTCGGAGGAACCAGCGCTAAATTTTAGTAGTGAGGATGAAATCGATGATTTTGAAGAAGGCTGAGTTCAGTGACGAGGATGATTTGCTGTTATCTACCCATACCAGCACTGCCAGCCGTCATAAGTATTATTAGAATATTTTTATTTTTTGTACCTCAGAATGGTTTGTTTATCTTTTGATAGCAGTTTTTCAATAAATACACGTTTCTATTTAATGCCTTCATTTCTTTACAAAAAAACTGAGGAATTTGACCGGTGCTTAGTCAATTGACCGGTCAATTGACCAGTCAATTGACCACAAAAGATTTTGACCGGTCAAAATCCCAACCCTACCTATAGCCCACAAATTCTCGATAGCATTAATGTCCGGTGAGTTTACAGGCCAGTCTAGAAGGGTTACCTTTTGGTACTAGTGCAAATTAGTCGCAATAACCGGCAAATGACTGACATTAGCAATTACTTAATGCAGAATGATGGATTATGGGATATGTCAAGAAAAACCTGTCAAAATTGTCACAGCAGTGTTCGAAGTTCAAATAATATAGAAATTCCTAATGTTCACATTAATTCGCAAATATCAGAGGTCGCTCGAAAACATTCAAAATACTCTACTTTGAAAGTTAAAAAAATCTTGAGCGACCTTTAGAAATCAAAATATCGATTTGAAATTTTCAGAATCATTATTATTTTCAAATTAAAAAATAATATCGGAACGAGAAAAAAAATTAAAATAAAAAAAATCCAATTTTTGGCGATTTTGGGAATTTTTAAAAATCTTGAGTGACCCCTAAAAATTTGTAATGGAGCTGATCTTTTGACAGGTCTCTTAAAACATGACAAACCAACATATTTTCACAAGAGACGAGAAAAAAAAAATCTTTTTTTTGGGGCACCCTATATATATATATATATATATATATATACAGGGTGTTTCATAATATATGCGCAGGACTTCAGGATGTGATAGCTCATCCAAAAAGATGAAAAAAGTCGCTATTAACTTACCCTCTAAAATGCACAATTTTCGAGATACAGGGTGTTGAAATTTTAGAAAAAAAATCGTTTTTTTAGATTATCTCTGGAACCGTTTATCGTACAAAAAACAGCTTTTGTAAGCATTTTCTACTCATAATAAGCTATGTTTTGTGCCAGAAAAAAATTTTTTTTACTCATAATTGGTGGAGATTTTGAAGGGGTAGCGGGTGTTTTTCTCCTCAACTTCAACGCCCCTGAAAAAAGTACATTCGAACCGCCAATGTTTTCTACAGAAAAAAGGTACTCTTGGTCATAAGCTCTAAAGTTGACCGTTTTCGAGAAAAATCAACTTTTATGTTTAAAAACATGGTCAATTTTTTGAAAAAAAAAATTTATTACTAATAAAACAAAAATTATTTTAACGTTAGAAAAAGTAACAAAACCAAACGATAATTGCAAAATTAAAAAAAAAATAAAAAATGATTTTTTACTCAAATGCTGAAATGTGCGAAATGCGTTACCTTTACGGTTTGGAGAATTAAGCAAAGACAACTTTTAAATCATTTTTTATTTTGCAATTATGGTTTGGTTTTGTTACTTGTCCTAAGTTTAAAATAAATTTTGTTTAATTAGTAAAAAAAAAATATTTTTTTTAAATTGACCATGTTTTTAAACATAAAAGTTAATTTTTCTCGAAAATGGTCAACTTTAGAGCTTCTGACCAGGAGTACCTTTTTTGTGTAGAAAACATTGGCGGTTCGAATGGACCTCTCAAAACCGTACTTTTTTCAGGGGCGTAGAAGTTGAGGAGAAAAACACCCGCTACCCCTTCAAAATCTCCATCAATTATGAGGAAAAAAAAATTTTTTCTAGCACAAAGCATAGCTTATTTTGAGTAGAAAATGCTTACAAAAGCTGTTTTTTGTACGATAAATGGTTCCGGAGATATTCGAAAAAAACGAATTTTTTTCTAAAATTTCAACACCCTGTATCTCGAAAATTGTGCATTTTAGAGCGTAACTTAATAGCGACTTTTTTCATCTTTTTGGATGAGCTATCACATCCTGAAGTCCTGCGCATATATTATGAAACACCCTGTATATAATAAATCAGTTTATAATGTTTTTTTAGAGATTGACATACCTATTAAATAATTAATTTCTATGTAATTTATTACGATTTGTTTTTTTTGCAAAAACCAATACTACTTAATAATATTATTATTGGGACATTTGATTTAATAGGGACTATTGTTCAGTTTAGAAGTCCTTTCCAACGTACTGATGTCCCTGGTGCAAGAGTTATTAAAATGTTTACTTTTTTTATAATATGTAATGGACATCAAAATTTGAGATTAATACATGTACCTATCTATGTTTTTTTGAGGGCTGAAACCGATGCAGGAGGGTTTAATACCTTCTTTCACTTCTGAGCCCATTCAGAATACAGATACACTTTTTGTATATTCTTAAATTTATTTTAATGTTAAAATTAGTGTATTATAACCATTTACTATTTAAAATAAATACATTTTTGCAATTATATTATTTTATATATCAAGTTTAAATAAATTTATATTATAATTATTAATACACTCACAGGCAAAATAATCGATCCACACAAATTTTCGATAAATTTCAATCAAAAATAACTTTTTTATTTAATGTCGGATTTAAACGAATATTAAAGAATATTGTAGATAAATTAATGGACAATCGCTGACATTTTAAAAAATTACTAAAAAATTGACGTACGTTTATAATATACAGGTTTAAACAAAAAGATGTTTTTTACCATAAGTTTAAGACACTCTGTAGAGTGGGAAAACCGTATATTGTTCTAAATTAAGTTTTGTTTATTAAGTCACATCTATTCTTAACAGTTTTGTTTTTGGTTCACCTCGATATATTTATTTTTGTGAAAAATATGGATTTTTTTAGAAAACATCGCAATTTCCAATATTTTTCTGTATGAAGAATTAAGGTTGCTATGGTCCATCCATAGGCTATGAAGAATGACAGTGACAGTTTTGTTGAATCAAATTGTTTTTTGCAAATTAATTTTTAAATTTTGAGGTGTATTCTTACTTTAAAAAATGGATATGTCTCCGACTGATGTTGCCAGAGCCATTAATTTAATCCAGGATTGACGGTCACAGTATTACTTGGCAAGTGTTTTAAACGTCACTAGAAGTAAAGTACAAAGGGCAACATCAGTCGGAGACATTTTTAAAAGTAAGAAGACACCTCAAAATTAATACATTAATTTACAAAAAACAATTTGAAAGCTTTTGAAAGCTGTATTTGACATGTCCAAGTATGGGATGATTCAACAAAACTGCCACTGTCATCCTCCATAGGCTATGGATGGACCATAGCAACCTTAGTTAGAAAAAATATTGGAAATTGCAATGTTTTATTAAAAATATCCATATTTACCACAAAAATAAATATATCAAGGTTAACCAAAAACAAAACTGTTAAAAATAGATCTGACTTGATAATTAAAACTTAATTTAGAACAATATACGGTTTTGCCACTCTACAGAGTGTCTTAAACTTATGGTAAAAAACATATTTTTGTTTAAATCTGTATATTATAAACGTACGTGTATTTTTTTACTAATTTTTAAAATGTGAGCGATTCTCCATTAATGTATCTACAATATTCTTTAATATTTGTTTAAATCCGAAATCAAATAAAAGTTATTTGCCATTGAAATTCATCGAAAATTTGTGTTGATCGATTATTTTGCCTGTGAGTGTATATACAAAATAGATAAAGCCGGCCCCAATTGGCAGGCTTTTATGACGTTCGTGTTGCTTAAGTTTATTACAGAGGTCGCCCTTCTTATATTCTTTTTCTATGGGGTATCTTCGTACACAGGCAAATGTGCACTATACATTTTCGATGAAAAAAGTGGGGTTTTTATTTAACATAAATGTGGTAGGGGGGCAAACAATTTAAAATTATAATTATATGATTTTGAATAAAAAAAACTACAGTTTACGTGTCCGAGCGTTTAAAATAAATCGAATAACGAATTTTATTCTATAGGCGAGAAACACACTGTATATATTTATATTATGTTAATGGCTTACTTCACAGTTTGAATTAAACTCTATGGCTTTGGCATATTGAATTTAGCTGCCTTTGAAGCAAGTAATGCTTAATAATTTAAATACTGCGTTTTGAAAGATAGCTCCTCATATGTCTAAATTGTCCTAAAACTTCTCTAGGGCCGTATGCAGAAACGTTGATTTATTTATATCAACTGATTTACGTATATCCACTGATTTAAGTTTGAACCAATTTGGCAACATAGCAAATTTTAAATGACAGTAAAGCACAGTAAAAATTTGTAGGTTATCTTACATAAACTTAAATATGTGTTTATTAGATTATAAGAGTAATACATTTTTAAAATGTATTATTAAATATACACATAAATACATTTATAACTGATTAAACCTTATTATTGACAAAAATTTGGTTTTGAATAGGATT